TAATCCATCTAAGCCTCAGTTTCCTCATCTGCGAAATTGTGATACCTACTTCATAGGTTGAATAAGAAAAAAAATTATGTGTAGGAATATTCTGGAAAAAATAAACTAAAAGGATGTAAATATAATGTAAATAGTGGTTATTTCTAAGCAATGGAATTATGGGTGAATGTTTTTGACCTCTTTATTTTCTATAAAAATATTTCTACTTTTATAGTTTCTATAGTGAATTAAAATATTGTTTCTCTCTTAATGTCAGCAAAGCATTGCAATTACGATTATAGACTCTGGAGCTGGACTTCTTAGGTTGCAATTACTTACTAGCTGTATGAGCTTTGGCAAATTACTTAGCCTCTAACTCAGTTTCCTTATCTATAAAATAATGTTATTTCCATCATAGATGTAAATGAATAAACATAGGTGAAGTGATTAGAATAATACCCAAAAGATAGTGTTATATGAATTTTTTCAAACATTATTAATATTTTTCTCTTCTACGGCCTTTTTCTCAAAATTCCTACTCTTTGGATGCCTTTAAGTCAACAAAGTTACAGGTATATGTGAGTAGCTCCTTATAGTTTCTCACAGCTATCAGCATATCATCTGGCCTGTGGCCTGGTGGCGCTTGAGCTAAGAACATTTTTAACATTTTCAAAGGATTGTGAAAACAGAAGAATGGTAACAGAGATAGTAAGTGGGCCACAGAGCCTAAAATATTTACTATCTGCCCTTTATAGAAAAACTTTGCTGACTGCTTAATATGTTTCCCCTTTCAAATATTATATGTTTATGATTTAAAATCACCATGCTGTAAACACCAAGGAATAATGTCGAAAGGTGAAATTTCAAGAAATATTGTAAATAGGAAGGGAGGTAGTTTTGGACAAGGGCAATGTTATTCCGTTTTGTGATTATTTGCTCCCTTGCTATTGGAAGATGAGGTGTTTTTTTTTTTTTTTACCAGTGATTAAGAATCACTTCATAGTAATTAAAGGCATGGTACTGTAGGATGAAACAACCCAAAAAGTACTTAAACTCACCAGGGTGAATGCGATTGAAATTGAATGGGATCTCAAATAATTATTGTGTTTCTCTTGGTCAACGCTGTCATGCTGATGGTGGCAATCTAACTGCTATGGGAATCCAGGATCATATGGATTCTGGAATCAGCACATTTTCCAGGCGAAGTATCCATTTCCTTGCCACAGACCCTGTGGTAATGAGTGTGGGAGTAGGGAAGCTGACTCATGAAGTGAAGTCTCTCTAGAGACTTAGACACATTTCAGAAAGAAAGTTACCAGCCTTAAAAACTTTAGAAATCTAAGGTTGTTAAAAAGCAATTTTGAAAAGGGGGAAGTTAAGATAGCATTTTTTTTTTTTTTGGTTTGTTTGTTTGCAAACAGTAAGAGACTAACCTGTGACCCAGGGGTAACTTTATCTACTGCTTTATCTGCCTTAAGCAATTTACAAAACAGCTAGCTAGCTGCAGGCAAGAGCCGGAGAAGAGACTTGATGTTTACCTGAGGGCCCTACAATGAGATGTAGGATGCCGGGCAGGTCTGAGGGTGCATTTGTCTTTTGAGTCCTGTAGTCTGTGGGTGTTGTTGTATTCCTAGAGGGTGGGAGAATGGAGGGCCACTTCCTTTCTGATCTTAATTGAGATTAAGATCTCACAAAGTCTGCTGAGAGTCAAACATGAGTGGTCAACCAAGGGCTGTGGCTTGCCAGAAGTCTGTTTGCATGAAAAATTAAGGACACTTCCTGGGCAGAGCTGGTCAGGCAGGCACTTCAGGCAGGCATGTCAGGTAGGCACTTTGGCACAGAAACAAACAAACAAACAAACAAACAAACAAAATAAACCCTTAGTTATACAAGGTCAAAGGTGCTTCTGAGTATATAGCACAGATTCTGTACTCAAACTTGACTTTCAGCCTATCCTCTGCATGGCTAAGTCCAATTCATGAAGGGAGGGCGCCAGAGTCCATGCTCTTGACTGCAACAGACTTTGGGATCAAAAAGGGGAGAGGAGATGTTCCAATCAGAGTTGGCAACCTAGTCTTTTCTCCAACACAGTAATTTAAAAACACATATATTATCTAATATCACCATGGTTTCAGAAAAGAATGAGAATTGTAAAAGAGATGTATGACAATACAAATTTTAAAAAAATGGACTTCCTTTAGCCTTTATAAAAAATAACCCAGAAAGATGAAAACTTTAGAATAGCCCCTAGGAAAAACTCTTTACTGCAACTGCTTCATCTCATCTTTTTTCCTCTTTGTTGGTTCATCATCATTTACTCCCTGCTTCCGGTCTTCTCCCACACACACATCCCCCTTCCCCACAGACTTTCCAACCACACTTTCTTTTTCTTAATTATCAATACATCAGTTTGGTAGTGTGTGGGTCAGCTGTGATCTTGGGGGGAAGCATGTAGAGGAGCAGACACTCAGGCAGAGAGTGAGACCTACCATTGGACACAGGCCTAAGAAGGGCAGGGGCTTTGTCTTGTTTTCTACTAAATACCTCCGTCCTGAAAACAAGGCCTGGAATGGGCAGGTGCTCAATAAATGCTCATTGAATCAATGAACAAAATACAGGCAAACTATATACAGGTTCTACTGAAACATACCACCAACGACAACATGACAACAAGGTAGTAGTCACTGTTCTTACTGGAGGTAGCGACATTTCACACATCATCAAACCTTTTTGCAGAAACATGAAAAGGAAAAAGGTAATTGACAATACACCATCCTAATCCAACCATTATTGCAATTTTGTTGTCCTTCTTTTCAGTGTTTTGAAATATACATTTAAAATATATTCGTAATTAGAAAATTTTGGATAGGAAATACGGAAACAATTTTCAAAAGAACCAATCTCCTTTACCTACCAGGTATCACTCAAAATAAACTTAGGCGATGTCACCTGAATAAGTGTGAAAAAACCTTTGATAATCTATGTCAGTACAGCAAAGCATGTGGTAACAGTCACAGAAGATTTATGGGTCAAGGAGGTATAAGACATCATCCTTTCTCTTGCTGGCTCCCTCTGTAAAATGAGAGGGTTGGGGCTCCCTAATCTCAAAGGTCTTAAAGTCTGAAGTTTAATAATGCCTAAAACAGATTTTATTGTTTTACAGTGTGATTGTAAAGCAGTTTATAGTTCAAATATTTATATATTTATGTATATAAATTTATATATTTATAAATTAGTACTTTTTTGTTAAATGCTTTATTACTATAAAATAATAAATATTAACTTCGATATAGGAGCTCCTTCTATGCAGAAATAGATTTTAGAAGTTTACACAGAAAAGCCATTTCTAATTTTCAGGACTATTTTTTTACCTGAGGAACTGCAGTAAGTAGTTTCACTTACCCTATAGACTGATTATAAGTCTCAAGTATAAATCTTTATCCTTATATAAACCAACAAAACAGAAAGTTAATTCAGAACAAAGTGACAACGGGCCGGCCAAGTGGCGCGATGGTTAAGAACTGGCTTGGGACGCCAGAGGGCCCCGGTTCGGATCCCACATATGAGGGCCAGTGACACTGCCCTCTACAGCTAAGATGCTGAACAACAGCTCAACCTGGAGCTGGGCTGCCATGAGTCACCAGCGACGGTGTAGGCTGCAGCCCCTGCTGCAGTGGGTTGCCATGGGCTACTGTGTGTAGCCAGCAGCCAGCGTGAGCGGCCAGCAGCCAGCGTGAGCGGCCGTCCAGAAGCCGGCGACTGATCTGCCTCGCCCGGGAAGAGCCCAATGATGGTGCCAACTTGGGCCAGTGAAGCAACGTCCTCCACAACTAGACTGAAGAACAAAACGACAGCAACTTGTCTGTTTCCCTTCCCCCAATTCCCCAGCACTGTTCCCATCCCCCCAATTCCCCAATAAAAATCTTTAAAACAACAACAACAACAACAACAAAACAACAAAGTGACAACAAACCTGCTAGGAGTAATCCAAGGGACAGAGAGAGGATAAAACATTGGTTTTTCGGTGCAAAAATGGGATGAAGAAAATTCTGCCGTTATGCTCCTACGTAGAGAAGGTTAAATGCAGGAAATTCCTTGCAGTGGAATTCAGAATCAACCCTCTCCCTCACTTTTCTATTTTTCTAAGGACCGCCACTTCCTCCGTTAGATAACTCGGCAGCCTGATGATTATTTCATTAATCTGGGTATAATCTTTCTTTGGGGGGCGGGGGGTAACAGTAGAATTGCCTTGAATTGAAGCTTAATCTCCGTTGCCACCATCCCCAGGCAGGTGAGACTGACGGGACCAGGTTTAAAGCGACGCCCCCAAAGGTGGCACAAGCGCACCTGCTGTGGAGATTAAGTTTCTGTTTAAGTAGCCTAAACCTGTCACAATTTCAAAAGAACTAGAAGTAATCGTGCTGCAAGCAGTTAAATCGAAGTCTACTACAATTACTTTCCCAGCCTGAAGGCTGACACTGAACTCGGACTGCTAGCAGCCACACTTCAGGATTTCCAAGGTAGTTCAGGAAAAGAAAGAACCTGGGACTGTTTATGAGCCTTGGATCGCACGCATTTTCCTGCACCAAGCGCCTAGGTGTTCATCGGCATAGTGTGTTAGTCACACCAATAAGCATAATCACCCCCGGCAGGCTGCAAAATTCAGGTATATAATAGCGACTTTCCCATAGCGAGTCCCCGGCAGGCACTGGACCACCACCGCTGCATCTCTCGGTCGCCGGTAGGGACGTAGGGAAAGCCCCTAGCCCCGCCCCGCGCTCCAAAACCCGCCCCTGCGGTGGGTTCCTTGCTCTCACCGTGGTCTCCTGCCGCCCCCTGCTGGGCTCTTCGCGTAAGTTTACCTAAATGCAGCCGCGAGGCCTCCGGGGCGCGCAAGGCGGGTGACGTCACGTTTGCGCGCAGCCCGTGACCGGAAGTTAGTCGTCCATTTCCGCCCCTCGGTTCCGCTCCAGATCTCAGAGGCGGAAGTAAAGCCGTCTACCCACGTAGGTATAGTCCCGGTTGTGGTTGGTGGCTTGCCGCTGCGGAGCTTTTTACTTTTAGGAGAAGGTCTGGTGTATAGCGGAGTCTAGTTCCCTTGCTGCTCCTTGTAGAATTGTTTTTGTGGGAGGAAGAGGGATGGGAAGAACCGATGCAGTGGAACCTCTGGAGTTACCATGATTTTGAGTTAAGACTCACCTGGGTTCGAACTTTAGGCTTCACCTGGCTAAGACACGCTAGTAAGGAAACTTGGCGCTTATCCCGATTTTGTAATTTTGGGGCTAATGCCTACTTTTTAATTGTGGGGTTTAAGCACGGCAGTGTTATGTGAAGCACTTCGTTCTGGTTTTACAAATCATATTCGTGATTCCGCTACTTTCCCCCCATCATATGCAGGCGTGTACTTGCCATTTTCTTCTCAGTATCGGAGAGGTGTGTAGTATGCAAGAGGTTATACATCTCACGAGAACGTTATACAGTGTTAGTTGCGATTGATCTCTTTATATTGGGACGTCTTGACGGTTTTTTGCCCCCCCCCCTTTTTTTTGTGCCATTTCTAGGGACGGCTATTTTCCAGATTTTTTCTGTTGGAATACAAGTCCTCTTTCCTTAAGACAAATAAGGTGAGAATGCATTGTTGTAAAGATCTCCAAACAGCTTGTTTTGTCAAAAGAAGACCAACCTGGGGCCTGGTCAGTGATTAACCATTTCCATTAAATGGCCCTTTATCAGGCTACTGTGGAGCAGAGGGCAGTGTAAATCCTTTTATTCCTTAGACCTCACAAGCTACAGGTACACACATTTTTATTGTTTTTGTTAATTTTGGACTTCAGCCTTGGCAATAATAGTTTTGGTTAATTAAAAATGTCAATTTGAAATCCATTATGGAGTATTAGTTATTTTTGAAATTTGTAGATTGAGGCAGTTAATACTTGTTGCATTAGGCTGTTTAAATACTCACCTTGCTAGATGTAATAGGAATAATTTGTATGGAGATCGGGTGCTAAAAGAGTAAAGTAGCATTGATATTTATCAGATTTAACTTTTTTTATGTTGAAAACTGAAAAATAGATAAAGGTAATATATATTATGTTTTTGCACTCTTAGGCCATTTTAATTTGTTTTAAATTTCTTGTCTGATTGCAAAATAATACATAGTAATTAAATATTATCTCAATATTTCAAAACTAGTACATAGTTGCCATTAATTGGTCAGAGATAACTGTTGTTTCATTCCCCCCCACCCCAGTCTGTATATAGTAATGTCCCCTCCCCGTTTTATGTGTATTCCTGTCCTTTCAGTTCCTTTGGATAATCTCCAAGTGGAAATGCTGGGTTCTCTTCCAGCAGTGGTATTTGAGAATTTCCCCTATTTTCTGATATGCTCACCAATATATTGATATTAGTTAACATTGTATTTAGGTTTAGCTGAGACAGCTCATAATATTTTTTTGAGGACCGTTTATTGCATTTATAGTATTGTAATCAAAACAGAATTTTAGTTGCCAGTTCTAAGACCAATTGAGCTCTTTTTTTCCTATAAAAATAGAATAGTCTTAGATTCCCTAGTAATAAATTATTATAAAACAAATTATTGACTTCAACAGTATGTGACTTGTTTAGCCCTGTTTGTGATAGTGTAATCTCAAGGGAGTGTGTTGTCTAGAGTAGAAGCCTTCAGACTTTTTATATTGTGTGCACTCCCAATAAGAAAGTTATACATGTACCTCTAATATACGTATACTTATTTACTGATTAGTGATGCACATGTCTCATAGTACTATTGTATACGTTTAAAAACATATATAGAAGGTGGAAATTTTAAAAGGCTAAGACAAATATAAGTTGGAATTTTACTGTTGTCTTCTTTTGTCCCATTGGATCTTCTTGCCACCCCTCTTTGGAAAGCACTGGCCTTATCCACAGAACACTGTCAGTGTTCTGTCCTGTTATCCAGTAGAGGTCACCCTTGAACATCTGAAAGAGAGAACAGATTGTTGAGCTGTGCAAGGTAAACCCTTCATTCTTGAGTTAAGAGGAGGATCTTCTTTTCAAGTTTCTAAATTCCTGCATTTTTGGAAGAGTATATAGTTCCAGAGTAGTATGTGGTACTATGGAGAAGTGAAGAGTAGTGAACTCAGTATAGGGCAATCTAAAATGTGCTTCTGTTGTTTGACGTTTACCTTGTGAGCAGCCTGCATTTTTGTTGGAATGTTATTTGATTCTGTAGTTCAGGAATATTTTTCCAACTCTTTGAGGATCTTTATCTGAGCTATAGAAATGTTCCCAGACTGTAGGCATAATCCAAGTTTTTGTTTAGGTGGAGTAATTAAAAGGATAGACACAGAGAGAGTTTTTTTTTTTTTTAAGATTTTTATTAAAATACAGTTAACATACAATATTTTGTTTCAGGTGTACATCACAGTTATTCAGCATTTATACCTACAGAAGTAATCGCCATCATAAGTCCAACAACCATCTGACACTGTACCACACTATCACGATATTATTGACTATATTCCCTATGCTGTACAGAGAGACTTTTTTGATGTTGATCTTAAAAGCAGTGTCTCAAGCCCAGAGATATTAAGGGTGAGTTGAAACCATCTAGCTCTGTTTTCTAGTTTATGCTTAATTAGGTGAGAGGAAAAGGGATGTGTCTTTTTTAAGTGATAAGAGCCCATTGTAAGTAATTAGAAATCAAGAGCTTAGTTGTCACAGCTGTATAGCCTGAAAAGGAGAAAGTACAGTTTTAAAAAAATAATTCAGACAACAAGTAACTTAGGAACATAAATCATCTGATAAGTTGAACAACAAAAGACTACTTTTCTGTTGCTTTTCTCATAAAATGTTTCCTATAGAGATGCTCGTTTTCATAGGGACCTACTGATTATTGGGTCGTCGGGAAAGTCATGACGCATTTTTGCATTGAAAAACATAGAAAAAATAAGTCATGACTTTCCCGATGACCCAGGGTTATCATATATAAGTTTGTACATTTCATGACTCATTTCTAACTGATCAGGAAAATGAGTTATTGAGGTTTTAGCCACTTGCACAAAGTTATATGTGTTATGGAACAAATGCAGAGAGTAATGTGGTGGGGTGGGGGTGAATGGCAAAAGTAACTTTTAATGTTTATGTAGCATCTTGCAGCACAGTTCCACATGTGGTGGACTATTTGGATTAAATATTCCAACTAGATCATTTTGAAGATGAAAATTGGTTTGGAGTTGTTGGGTTACAACCAAGGGGGCAATAAAGTAAATTGATTGAAGGGGAGTTTGGGGTCAGGAGCTGTTGACCAGAAGTCTAGTTAAGTCTAGTTAAGCTAAGAATTAAGCCTCTAATAATAGCCTGGGTTTAAAGAGTGCCATGAATCCAGAAAAATGTGTTTGAGGTGGATGTTAGGCATTCTGAAGTGTTGGCTTTCAGCGCTAGATTTAGAGTTTGATAAGAAAGATGTGAGAACAGAGGCAAAGAAGTCTGGTGTCTGTGGGCAGGGGCAAGGCCAAAGATCTGGGAATGTTGGAAGACAAGGCAAGATTGAAGGCATCAGCTAGTAAGAATAAGCCAAAGGTTTGGAAACCAGGAGGATGAAGCAGAGATGGACAGTGGCAAAATGTTTTGGGTAGCCAAGGTAGGTAAGGCCAAATAAAAAGAGGAAGATAAAAATAGGAATAATTCTGGGGCAGTGATGATGCTATACTGCTTTTCTTTATGTTAAGAACGAATGGAGCCCCAGGTCCACAGATAATCAGAAGCAGTGAGCTAAGGAGTGGGAATATGGTGTCTAAATTGTTACCACAGCACCAGGAGATCTAGAGCTGTAGATAACTTATAGAAATGACTGCGGTGCTTATAGGATCATAATATGGTCTTTTGGCTGTTTAATACATGCATTTGTATAATACTATATATGTTGTTTTACACAGTGTTCCAAAAGGTTGGGACTACTTGACCATTATGACACCACGAAACCTCTTCTGTCTGAGAAGTAACCTTCTCTTTGGTTCAAGATATTGGATGATCCAATTCTCAACAGAAAGCCTCTTCAAATCAGTTTCATTTAGGCTTTTTGGTGTGAAGTGTGGTAATGAAGACAGCGAACCTTTGGAGAATGAGCTACTGAAAAACTTACTTACTATGGGAGTAGATGTTGACATGGCAAAGAAACGACAGCCTGGAGTTTTTAATAGGATAGGTATTAATGAGCAGGACCTGAAGATGTTTCTTCTGTCCAAAGGAGCTAGCAAAGAAGTAATTGCTAGCATAATATCAAGATATCCACGAGCCATAACACGCACACCTGAAAATCTTTCAAAACGGTGGGATCTGTGGAGAAGAATTATGGCATCAGACCTTGAAATTGTAAATATTTTGGAACGTTCTCCTGAATCCTTTTTTCGGTCCAATAACAACCTAAATCTAGAGAATAATATAAAGTTTCTCTACTCAGTTGGATTGACCCGTAAATGCCTATGTCGATTGTTGACCAATGCCCCACGTACCTTCTCCAATAGTCTTCATCTGAATAAACAGATGGTTGAACTTTTGCAAGAAGTCTGTTTGTCCTTAGGTCATAGTGATCCTATAGATTTTGTCAGGAAGATAATTTTTAAGAACCCTTTCATCTTAATTCAGAGCACCAAACGGATAAAAGCTAACATTAAGTTTTTACAGTCAACTTTTAACCTGAACAATGAGGAGCTGCTTGGTCTGATATGTGGTCCAGGAGCTGAAATCCTAGACCTTTCCAATGACTATGCCAAAAGAAACTACACAAATATCAAAGAGAAGCTGTTTTCTCTTGGGTGTACTGAAGAAGAGGTACGGAAGTTTGTCTTGAGCTATCCAGATGTGATCTTTTTGGGAGAGAAAAAGTTTAATGATAAAATAGACTGCCTCATAGAAGAAAAAATTAGCATTTTACAAATAATTGAAACTCCTCGGATTTTGGATGCAAGCATAAGTACTTTAAAAAGTCGAATCAAAGAATTGGTAAATTTTGGTTATGACTTGAGCACTTCAAATATCACTCTTCTATCTTGGAGTCAAAAAAGATATAAAGCTAAATTAAAAAAGTTAAACGTTGGTTAGAACATTATTCTGGGGAATTAAAAAAAGTCATTCTTATAATGTAATGATATTTTATTTTGAATTTGGGCCTTTCAAAAAAGAAGTTTGATTGCTTAACCACATATACAGAGGATGCCAAAAAAAATGTATATACATTTTAAGAAAGGAAAAAACTATTACAATTGTAATAATATATACCAATAATAGAAGATGAATACAAGTCACATCTGACTTCTGCAATTATAAGAGGTGCTTAAAAGTGGTTACCATCAATGTGCAGACACTTCTGATTATGGCGAACTACTGCTTGAGCAACATTGACCAAAGTGCCCACTTGTATACATTTTTTGGCATCCCCGTTACATAGATAATGATGCTTTGGATATTTTACTTTAAAGGTTCATAAAAACTCATGGTCAGTGTGCTCACCTAGAGTCTTTCCAGCTACCTTTTCTGTAGTTTGTATGAATGCAACATCCTATTATATAGGCTGTGTAAATGGTACTTTCTGAGTGCCAAGGCAGAACAATGTGTAGAAAGATAGAAAATACAAACTGAGCTGTCTCTGGTTTCTGTTCAGATTAAAAAATTGACAGATTCATTTAGATAGCTCTATTTCCTCTCATGGTTTTGAATGGCAACCCATTTCTTCTGTTCCCACATATCTATGGTTCATCTTCAAAATAGATTGCCTGTACAAATTTGACAAAACAGAAAGGAGGGAGTTTTCATCCCAAGTTCTGCATACTTTAGTTAAATCATTAGCACATTTGTATGCTTCGCACCCCCCGGACTTAATTTACTGTGGATATATCCTGATTTTTGTGAAGCGAAGGGCAACTGTGGTAGGCAGGTAATGGCCACCCAAAGATGGCAATATCATAATTCCCAGAACCAATGAATATGTTGTTACATTGCAAAAGGACTACAGATTCGATTAAGTTAATGACCTTGAGATGGGGCGATTACCTGGATTGTCTGGGTGGGCCCAATGTAATCATAAGGACCCTTAAAAGTGGAAGAGGGAAGTGAAAGAGGAGGTCAGAGTGATGCAATTAGAAGGACTTGACTCATTTTTACTGGCTTTGAAGGAGAAAGGGGACATGAGCCAAGGAATACAGGTGGCCATGACAAAATGGGAAAGGCAAGGAAACATTCGCCCCTAGCGGCCCCTCAAGGAAATGCAGCCCTGACAGAACCTTGATTTAAGCCCAGTGAGACTCATGTCAAACTTCTGACCTACAGAACCATAAGTGATAAATTTGTGTTATATTATAAGTTTGTGATAATTTGTTACAGCAGCAAATAGAATAACATATTTAGATGGTTAGTTGTGTTATAGGTGAAGTCACAAAATGTCCTTTTAGTATCATCTATCTATTTCTTTCTCGTTTTCTGGAATGGCTAATAAGTTAGTGTTTGTAAACTCCTCTAAATGTATGAATGAAAAACTAAATGTAATAAAATTAAATATATATATATATATATATATATATATATATATATATATATATATATATATATATATATATATATATATATATATATATATAAATTTCAGGTGTACAAAACAATGCAATAGTTGTGCTTTTAGTTATACCCCTCACAATGTGACCACCCACCTCCCCCAATAAAAGGATATTTTTGCCTGATGAATGTAGTTTAAAGAAATGGTAATAGTTCCTGTATATTTATATTTTGTTGGCATTTAATCTAATATAAAGAAGGGATATCTAGAGGTGTTAAAGACAAATCAGATGATGTCTGTATCTTAAAGACCTTCACCACTTAGCTCTGACATAAACTGAAAAAGAAGGGAAAATTACATGACCTTTTAATTTTTTTGGAGTCATTTGTTTTCTAGAGGTGAATTTAGAATTAAATAACAATGGTGTTCAAGCCTTATTTCTTATCAGTGATGCCTCAAAAAAGCATATTCTCACCACAGAAACAAAATACTGGCTTTTTCAAGGCTGTTCATATGTCAATTATACTCTTATAAGTTTTCCAATATGCTATTTGATGGCAAGCAAGGCATACGAGGTCAGACAATTAAGTCGCGAACTCATTCTAGAAAAATTGCTACATACCTCATTGCTAAATATCACGACTTTCACCTTTGAAGTACTCCCTTTGGGAAGCTATGCACCGACGCTACCGCCTAGTCCACCCTTCAAAGCAGTTTTGGAACTCTTTTTCTGGAATGGCCATCAGAGCTGTCGTATTACCCTTAATATCCTGAATGTCATCAAAATGTCTTCCTTTCAATATTTCCTTTATCTTCAGGTAAAGAAAGAAGTCAGTGCCATGTGAGCTGGTGCATTGTCGTGATGCAAGAACCATGAATTGTTGGCGAGAAGTTCAGGTTGTCTAACTTTTTCACGCAGACTTTTCTGCACTTCCAAACAGTAAGCTTGGTTAACTGTCCAGTTCATACAAATTCATAATGAATAATCCTGATATCAAAAAAAAGATTAGCAACATTGTTGCAACAAGTTCGCAAATTTAATTATCAGACCTCGTAGTTTAGAAAATATGAGCTTTAGAGCGACTGTTTTTTTGTTTTGTTTGTTTATTTTGTCCTTTAGGTTCCACATATAAGTAAAATCACAATGCACCTGTTTTTCTCTGACACACTCCACTCAGCACAATACCGTCCAGGTCCATCCATCCTTCCGCAGATGGCAAGAACGTATTCCCTTCCATGGCCGAGTAGTATTCCATTTTACATATGTACCATCTCCTCTTTATCCATTCATCCATCGAGGACACCCAGGCTGCCTCCACATCTTGGCTATTGTGAACAATGGTGCAGTTAGCATATGGATGCACATGTCCCTCAAAATAGCGTTTTGGGTTTCTTTGGATGAATACCCAGAAGTGGGATTACTGGGTCCTTCATTGTCTCTTGTCATAGCCTTTGTTTAAAGTCTTTTTTGTGTGATATCAGTATTGCTATCCCAGCTTTTTTTTTTGTTTTCATTTTCATGAAATACCCTTTTCCATTTCTTTACTTTTAGTCTGTATGTTTCAATCTGAAGTTTCTTGTAGGCAGCATATGTGAGGGTCTAGTTTTCTTATTCATTCAGCTACCCTGTGTCTTTTGATTGGAGCATTTACATTTGAAGTAATTATTGATAGATATGTAGTTATTGCCATTTTATTATATTTTTATTTATTTATTTATTTTTTAATTTTTTATTTTTTTAAGATTTTTATTGGGGAATTGGGGGGATGGGAACAGTGCTGGGGAGTTGGGGAAAGGGGAACAGACAAGTTGCTGTCGTTTTTGTTCTTCAATCTAGTTGTGGAGGATGTTGCTTCACTGGCCCAAGTTGGCACCATCATTGCGCTCTTCTCTGGCGAGGCAGATCAGTTG